GGAAATTTTTACGCCCAAAATAACCACAAGAATCGATAGAGGAGTCAATTTTAAGTAATAAATGTTATATAAAGTTTTTTGGATAATCCGATACTTTCCGAGTAATTCGTCATTTAAAATGTTGATTTTTTACTAAAAAAAGTGCTTGTTTTCGGACAGTTTTTTGCAAATAACTCTGAAACCAGTGGATTTAACGAAAAAGTTGTAATGAACAAAAAGAAAGTTAATAAAAAAACAAATCTAATGGCAGTATTTTGTTTTTCTCTAATTGCAATATAAACCGAGTTATGGATTTTTAAACAATATTATATGTTAGCTAAAAACTAAATTGGAACCAGTTAACGGTAAGTAACGCCAAAACCATAAATATTAGGAAAAAACTATTTGAACCTTTTTTAAAGTACTTTGAAAACCTTTAAAATGAGCTATTTTAAAAGTCTTTAAAATCAAAATTAACGGAAATATGATCGAAATAACATGATAGTTTTATTTTTTTTTTTTAAGAAAAAAGTAATAAACAAATCAGTGCCTTTGGCGACAGAATTAAAATTAAATGCAACCCATTTACAGATTTCTTCATTTATGTTCTAAGAATATGTTCTGGGTCTTTGGCTCACTTACAAAGCATGATTTCGCTGTAACTTAAAAATTAAAGGGTGTACGAAAAAAATACAAGAGTAAAAAAATTTAGCTTTACTTTTGCTGAAGATTTTTTTATTCCTCTAAATTTAATAATAATCGAGATATCGCCATTTTAAGTTATCATATGAATGAGAGAACCACCCGTTTCGAGCCCTTTAAACTCTTTAAACTTTTAAAATCTGACTTACCTCAAAATTGCAAGGAGCCACCATTTGAGAACTGCTGATTTTCATAGAAGATGTTCGATGTACCCACCATTTGCTTGCACACAAGCTGCAGCGCGACGTATCCAATTCGCTCTCGAATCGTACTACAAGCTTCGGCAATACATATCCCCACAAAAAGAAGTCTAAAGGGGTGAGGTCCGGGGACCGGGGGGGAACATCTAACTAGGCAGCCGCGGCCTATCCAGCGATTAGGAAAAGAAAGTCGCGCATACTTTGAATAACTTTAGAAAATATAAGCTGCAATAATCACACTGCATAATTCTAAATCAAAATTACTTTTTCGACTGTTTCCTAAATCATTTAAAACTGTTGCGCCGGGCCACAATTTCAATAAACTGGAACCATCATCAGAAATTAATTGTTTTAAATGTCCTGAAAAAAATTACAGCTTGGCAACACCGCACCACTTCGCACTGTGACGGCATTGCGAACTTATCGTAAAGAGCCCGCGATTTAACAGGTAAGAAAACGGAATTACGCGACCATGTTTCTATTCCTATCCTTTGGCGATGTTCAACGAGCGTTGCGCTGGTACAACGATGTTAACCTTCTGCAGAAAGATGCGCAGAGACTTGACCGAGTAGTGGTTTGTGGCTGGTCTAGGAGACGACAGTAAGATCTTCCGACCATCGAGAGGGGATTAGCGCGCATTGCGATTTTCTTAGTTGCTGAAATAAAACGGCAAAGGACTATAGAAAAAAGTCCCCTCTATAGTACGAAATAGTTCCTACACAGAGTAATAATCGACAGGGTGCTTTGGGAAAAGGTACCACCAAATATGATTAAAAAAAATAGTTTTTTGACGACCTGTATCAAAAACAAAAGACGATAGACCTATGGTCTATTTTTTACGTTTTGTTAATACCTAAATTTGTGGCACTTTCTTCCAAAACACCCTCTGTAATTCAAAACTTGAATATAACACCAAGTTGGTCAGATTCTTCTCTGACATACTTGAGGAGTAAAATTGGTTTAAAAAAATTGTTACGTTCCAAAAAAATAACTATTCTAAATTATAAGCCACTTAGAATTGATGTTAAGTGAAAAAAAAAACGAAGGGGTGTAGTTAAATAAAATTGTTTTTAAAATTGATTGACATGAACTCTCGATATTAAACTTAATACATAATAATTTAATATTACGTACTTATTTTTATTTAAATACAGAGTAAAATAAACATAAACAGTTTACTTTTTATTATAGTTAAAATAACATTACGACAAAGTTAATTAACTTACAAACCATTGCTCTTCAGTGCAAATTCAAATTCATAAATTAGTAACCCATATTGCCATATCTGCGAGAAAACATTAGGTACATATTATGTTCAAAATGACTAGCTATCCACAAATTTACTCTCTTGTGCATATTTTCGTACACATTTTGCCGTTGCTGTTCTTGTATATTCTTGACATCGCTACACAAACGACCAGTTGTAGGGGATATAAACCTGATATGTGAAACCATGATTTATTTATTAGTAAAAAATGACAAGTCCAAGGACATTTAAATAAAGGGGACTTATTTATTTACATTTCTAGATGAAGCCTGGTCTATTCACAGTCTAATTGTATCATTGTTGTTAGCTGTATAATTATACTGGAAATGTACTTAATATTTTTATCGCAATTTTCATCACAATTGTGAAAATTATTATTATAGGANTTGCGCCGGGCCACAATTTCAATAAACTGGAACCATCATCAGAAATTAATTGTTTTAAATGTCCTGAAAAAAATTACAGCTTGGCAACACCGCACCACTTCGCACTGTGACGGCATTGCGAACTTATCGTAAAGAGCCCGCGATTTAACAGGTAAGAAAACGGAATTACGCGACCATGTTTCTATTCCTATCCTTTGGCGATGTTCAACGAGCGTTGCGCTGGTACAACGATGTTAACCTTCTGCAGAAAGATGCGCAGAGACTTGACCGAGTAGTGGTTCGTGGCTGGTCTAGGAGACGACAGTAAGATCTTCCGACCATCGAGAGGGGATTAGCGCGCATTGCGATTTTCTTAGTTGCTGAAATAAAACGGCAAAGGACTATAGAAAAAAGTCCCCTCTATAGTACGAAATAGTTCCTACACAGAGTAATAATCGACAGGGTGCTTTGGGAAAAGGTACCACCAAATTTGATTTAAAAAAATTAGTTTTTTGACGACCTCTGTGTCAAAAACAAAAGACGATAGACCTATGGTCTATTTTTTACGTTTTGTTAATACCTAAATTTGTGGCACTTTCTTCCAAAACACCCTCTATAATTCAAAACTTGAATATAACACCAAGTTGGTCAGATTCTTCTCTGACATACTTGAGGAGTAAAATTGGTTTAAAAAAAATTGTTACGTTCCAAAAAAATAACTATTCTAAATTATAAGCCACTTAGAATTGATGTTAAGTGAAAAAAAAAACGAAGGGGTGTAGTTAAATAAAATTGTTTTTAAAATTGATTGACATGAACTCTCGATATTAAACTTAATACATAATAATTTAATATTACGTACTTATTTTTATTTAAATACAGAGTAAAATAAACATAAACAGTTTACTTTTTATTATAGTTAAAATAACATTACGACAAAGTTAATTAACTTACAAACCATTGCTCTTCAGTGCAAATTCAAATTCATAAATTAGTAACCCATATTGCCATATCTGCGAGAAAACATTAGGTACATATTATGTTCAAAATGACTAGCTATCCACAAATTTACTCTCTTGTGCATATTTTCGTACACATTTTGCCGTTGCTGTTCTTGTATATTCTTGACATCGCTACACAAACGACCAGTTGTAGGGGATATAAACCTGATATGTGAAACCATGATTTATTTATTAGTAAAAAATGACAAGTCCAACAAATTATTTCACATTTCATCCTTTTATTTCCAAATTCCAATGTAGAGGTTCAGTTTTCTATATAAAGGTAACATTTTAGACTCAAAATACCTGTTAATTAACCATAATCATAACTGATTAAATTTATTATTTTATGTTAAAAGGAGCGTGGTACAAGAAAAGTGACAATTTTAAATTTGCCTCTTATTTTCTTATGGGATATGCAACGAGTCAGAAAGAGATGACGGTTGAACGAAGATAGACTGAGGAATTTGGTGACTTATTTGTTTTTTATTGGTTGATTGACTTATGCGGCGACCGTCTCTTTACGGACCGTGTTCCTGCACAACAGTTGCCTTGTTTGGGTGTCACTGCAGTTGTTTTTTTAAAGTTTTGTCACATGTTGCAACTGAAAAGCCCAAAATGAAAATTTTAGGTTATTAACTATACTTCAATCTAATCTAAAATTGAAATAAAAATTTCAAAGTTAAAATATTTTAGGGACAGAAACTAAATTTGAGAATATTTGCACGAATTTAATAAAAAAAAATATTTGTTTGAGCACAGACAATTTTGATACGGACATTGTAGGACTTTGATTTATTCGTTGCGGTATATTATCGATGGCATTTTGACAATAATTTAATTCTTTGTAGGTTAGGTTAGTAATTAAAAAAAACCGTAGAGGATGTGGAAGATTAGAAAGATATACTAACAATAAATATTCCTTATATAAAAACAAATACGCAGAAAACGTTTATCGTTGTTGACAAAATTAATTTAGAATTATATAAAAAATACTTTGCCTTACAACCAAGAAATATCGCCCATCGCAAATTGTTCATATTATTTAAAAACATTACATTGCGTGAACACAGCAAATAAAATTCATAATGTAGAAAGTAAACACAACCAAGCTGAAACTTCCAAAAACGAACCCAATCTTATTGATAACTCAAATATTATGATTCCTAAATTGACCGGACAACATTTAATAAATTGTTGTAAGTACCTACTTTGTAGAACTGCACTTTCAACATAAATATCAATAACGAATAAGTTATATTTTTCCCATAAATTGATGAACGATCAATATTCTGATGTAGTTCTATTATTGTCGAATTAAGCACAGAAAATATTGTACGTATTGTTTGACAGCTGTCAATGTCGAACCAGCGCGTTTTCCTTCAACAAGTAACGGCGGCGTCTGAAAAATCCGAGCCACGTCGTTGCCAAGAAACGCCTAACAATAAAGATTTCATTATAGTCTGTCAGTAAGTAATCGAGTAAAATGATTAAGCACAAGTGCACAGTGAACCTGCAAGACCCGATACTAAGCGGACTGAAGTGGCACCAGAGGCTCAGACTGATATCCGCCAGCAACCCGCTCCGATTGAGCTACTTCAGAAGCGACGTCTCCGTCAGGGAGGAGAGCTACCGACACCTGAGGACCAACAAGTACGCCATCCATCCGTTCAGCAAGTTCAGGGGTTGGTACGAGGTGTACCTGGTTTTCCTGTACTTCTTCGTGATCTTCACCAAGCCGTTCGACGCCGCCTTCTTCAGCGACCAACTAACCGAAACCGTACCTATGTTCAAGTACTACACCTTTATCACGGACGTGTTGTGCTGGGTCGACATCTTCATCAATTTCGTCACCGGTTTCGAGCTTCCCAAGAACAGGTTAGTCGAACTACGGCCGTGGTACATTGCCAAGCATTATTTGTTCGGTCCCCACTTCTTCTTCGACGTGATTTCTTCCATCCCAAAAGCGTCGATGTATTATTTACCTGCATCGGAGAAGCGACTGAAGATCATCGGGGTGGTGGCAACAATGAGCTTTTTCAAGTTGGTGAGACTCCCTAGTTTTGTCATGTACGTTCATCGATCGGCTGAATTTTTACGCGTGAAGTCCAGAGGAAAACTGTTCTTGTTCAGTTCTTCTGTGGCTTCCCTCATGATAATTAATTTAATGGGTTGCCTGCAGTTTTTCCTACCGAGTCTTGTCAGGATGACCTTCAATGTGCCAGGCCGAGAAACGATTTGGTACGTAAAAGCTAAGCTAGACACCAAATCTCCCATACGTCAATACGTGCATTGCATATTCAAGAGCTCGGCGTATATACTTGGTATCCGCCTGAACATATACAGTGTAACCTTGACCGAAGAGTATCTACTATCCTTATTCACTTACCTCTTGGGTAAGATTCTTATCGCCTTCATCTGGATCATCCTGGCGGTGGCGATCCTCAACTCCAGGCTCATGGAGATAAAGTACGAGGAGATGCTGAACCAGCTCGAGGAGTACATGAGGCAGAAGCAGCTTCCGCTCAATCTCCGCAACAAGCTGCTGCAATACTTTAGCTTCAAGTACAGGAACAGGTTCTTCAAGGAGACTCTAATCAACAGTTTGCTGTCCGAGAACCTGAGGAACGAGGCGAACCTCCACGTCTGCAAGTCCCTGATCAAAAACGTCTCCCTGTTCGCCGACCTGAATCCCATGCAGTTGAGGAAGGTAGTGGACTGTCTCGTCCTGGAGATATTCATGCCCAACGACACCATCATTCACGCGGGTACCTTTGGGGACGCCGTGTATTTCCTCTTCAGCGGAACGGTTGCAGTGTATTCGCACGCGGGGAAAGAAATCTGCCACCTCCAAGACGGAGCCTACTTCGGGGAGATTTCGCTGTTGCTGAAAGGCCATTTGAGGTCGACCACAATTGTGGCCCTTGAGACGAGTCAGGTCTACAGGTTAAACAAGAAGGATTTCGAAAGGTACCTGATGAACAATAAAGAGGTCAAGACGACCATGCTGAGATACGCCGAGAGTAGACTGAAGGAGACCACGAGGATGGACGAGGAGTATAAGGAAAAACTGTTCGAGGAGTCTTACCGAGCGATTTCGCCCGGTACTTAGAAGTACATAGATAATAATGCTGTTCTTTGTTTGATTGTTTGTGTTTTGTTACATGTTGAATAAATTTTCATTTTTGAGTAAAATTTTTTTGTTTTATTGGGAGAGGAAGATGTCTTGTGAAATTTTGGTAAAAAACAGAGACTTAAAACTTTAAAAAATTTAGCTTTTATTATAATCCGGGGTATAGAGAATTCTACCCATTTTGTTTACCAATACCTATATGTAAATGTTAGCATATATTTAACAAAAATAACAAATCATCAGAACATATCCGCTTTTAGAGGAAAATACATATTTCAATTTTGTTAAGAACGACCAAGAGCATGTTGCTCTGGAATTAGAGGATTCAGAAGCATCATTTATGTGCTCAGATGACTCGGTTCGACGAAGACTATAAATATCTTTTAAGTGAATTTATAAATTGTTTCTTCTGAAACCACTTTAATAGTCGAAATTTGGTTAAAGCTCGAGCTAAAATATACTTCAAATATTGTTTTTCGAAAACTGTCATCAAGAGTCGATATTTTCGTTAAATTTTTAGTTGACAAAGTGAGTCTTTTTTGTTACCAGCTGCAAAATACTTTTATGTATTCTAGAACGCCACAGTCTCTTTCGTTCTAAAACGTAAGACAAATGTCAAAATAATTTGTCATTTTTTCGAAATTTATTTATGATTTTATTAATTAAAGAATATACATTTTAAGTAATATAATTTCAATACAAAACAGAACGATTACAATTTCTTTTGCACTAGAAAAATAAATGTAAATTGAAATTGCCGATATTGCAGTAACTTATAAAAAAAAAAAAAAAAAAGAATGGTGTATTTATGGTGTCTGTAGACCCAATACAAGCGGAGTAATAGCTTGTTGAAGGTTGGTTCTTATTCGTCAAACGCCAAAATTGAAAGTTTGAACGTCAAATAACCAAAAACCCATGCATTTTTCAGGGAATACTCATAGAACCTTTTTTAAAGTGCCTGAAAAAACCTTTATTTTTATTTTTTATAAAAGTCCCTAGCATCAAACCTAAGCGAGTTATGACGAAAATAAAGTTGGTCCATATTTTTTTCGGCGACAAAAAACGTCTAAATCACCCCCTAATTACAACCCCAATTGAAAATAATCGTTACCACTTTACAATTTACTTTGTTTATGTACTTGTAATATGCTCTAGCTAGAAGTTTGACCGATTTAAAGTGCTTAGTTTTGAAAAAAGTTGAGCTTGAAGTGAAAAGATAATGTTTTGTATTTTTGGAAAAAAATTGTCTTTTCTTCAAAATAACTCAAAAACTATTAATGATACGCAAAATTTTGTAGAGTACAAAATTGTAGGTTTTGCTTTTTTGAAAATTTTGTATTTTTTTCTGTAGGATAAAAATTAGGTAAATTTGGTTTGTATATGTTCGTAAATAGCAACTTGTTCAAGCCTTTTCAGCTCAAACCCTTACAAAAATAAGGGCTGAAAGAAAATTCAACTTATTTGATCTTATAGCCCTTGAAAAAACCTACAAAACGGTTTTTTGATGGGCTTGATAGCATAAAAACTAAGCGAGTTATGGGTAAAAAACCAGTCACATATTTTTGTAGATATCAGAACACGTATATCTATTGAAACATTGATGAATATACATTATAGCTGTATTTTAGGAATAGAAATATGAATTTTTGAAATATGATTGAAAAAGAATACGAGAGTACATGTTATTTGCAATAAAAAATGGGAAAATTATATAGTAACGCCGTATTTTACCTTCAATGGTTGGACTATAAGCCTCTTACAGGATATTTTTTGGGGATTTATTAAAATGCTTTTGCCTTCTCGAATGGATATTTTAGGCGAGCGGTTCACCCCTAAAAAAAGGCACGAACCGACTAAATTTTTAAAATAAAAACCTACAGCATGAAACTTTTTTATTTTATAAAGTGAATTTTTCTGATAATTTACATATTTTTTTATATTTTTCGGCATGTCAATTGTTATAAACAAAAAAATTGTAAAAAAAATTANAGGGGCTGTATCTTAACAAGGGATGCTCCAATGAAGTTTCTTTATATGAAAGATCCTATCTTTTTTTCGATGAGGAATCACCCCCTTAAATGTTTTACACTTATTTAGTTACACCCTGTATAATCTAGTCCAAGTCACTGACGCCACCATTTTGATGCGCATGTTTATAATGATTTTCTTTAAAAGATTGTTTTTTTTACTCGCTTTAGACCTTTAATAAATTAATTGGCCTATACCAAAAAATTATATCTTAAAGTAGAAGATCTGCCGATTATTATGCTTTTTTTTAGAATTAAACTCTGTTCAGTAGTTCTTGAGAAAAAAATTCCGAAAGTTTGTCGATTTTGTCACTTTTTTCACAGTAAATTGTAAATATCTCGGAAACGAAGAATTTTTTTAATTTTTGTCAAAGAACAAAAAGTGTTTGTAAGGTCCATTTTACGATAAAAAAAGCCATTCGGCGAGTAATTTTACTTACAACTTTTTTGTTTAAGTATAAAATTGACTGACACACCGAAAAATATAAAAAATATATGTAAATTATCAGAAAAATACACTTTATAAAATAAAAAAAGTTTCATGCTGTAGGTTTTTGTTCTAAAAATTTAGTCGGTTACCTTCATTTAGAAGCATCTTTTTAGGGGTGAACTGCTCGCCTATTTTGCCTCGCTAAGCTCGGCAAACTTCAATTCTCGAAGGCAAAACTACCATTTCCCGTTCTAGATACAAAAGTAACTATTTCATCCTTTAATTTTTGTGACTAGTCTATTACAGTGACTATAAACGATATAACCTAGAACCGACTTAATCTCAATGCCACGAATTTTGGGTTAATGGCTCCACTTCGTACACATATTAAACGGATTTTTCAACAACCGCCGCCACGTACGGACGTGCCCATCCAATGTCACCCCGCGTTGCGCAAGGCCGCATCGTCTTGTGTAGAAATTCGTTCTCTTTTTCGCATCCATGTCACGTCGTTTCTAATTGTACGTAATTGTTCTGTTAACCTGCACATTGACGGTGATTTGCGGCGGTTAACTTTATTTTCTACGAGGCGTTAATTCCCTTTAATGGCGCTAATCATACATTGCGTCCCGGAAAGCGGAAGCTTTTTCGGTTTCATTATTTCCTACCTTAGCAGTCGCCAGAAGGCTGTAATGAATAACAGTTCACGACCCGTCAAGCACGGGGTTCCACAGGGTCCCGTTTTGGGGCCACTGTCATTCGTCAGTTTCGTCACCCTTACCAACGCCCTTATTTCAGAAACATCCTGTAAAGATGGAGTAAAAACGCTATGTTGATTTTAGTTTGCAGTTAAATATTTTATAATGGGTCGGGCAAACCGATAGTGACATTCCCCTTATATTACATTTTTCGATAATAATTCAATATCTCATTCATAACAATAGCTGTTATGAATATACTACGGATATATCAGGTAGAGATAAAATAAATACTTGTCAGCTTTCTGTTATAGTTGTATAAATACCAATCGTGAATATTTGTTATAATAATGTCGTCATTGGGCTGATAACGTTTCTGTACTTGCTCCAATTAAATATTTGCAATTTAATTCACGCAGTTAACTTCATAAATAAATATCGAGTAACAGCAATGTTTAATTCTTCACCTCATAGAACGCTTATACTGTTTTAGTCGTTTTGTAAGATACGTTAGTCTGATTAATAGATTTACATTAAATTTCAAATGAATGTTAATAAATTCAACAAAATATTTGAACAGAAAAATATCTATGGCGTTTTTAAATAGACACGCAAAATACTATGTGTCGTGCGAATAAAACCATTTTTTTATTTGTAAATACATACAATCAAATAAATGCCATTTATTTCCCAAAACAATCGATGATTTAATAAACTATTAGCAAGTATTAAAGACACATCTACAGGGTAGCCCATCGAAAACGTACCGCAAGGCATTACAGGGTAGTAAAGAACTTTTCGGCAAAATCCAAAAACAGGTCAAATTTGTTTCTGAGGGGGACAACTTTTGGCTCAAAAAGCATACCAAAATCTTCAACCCCCTAAGTGGGGGTGCTATCCCCTAAATTTTTTCAAATGGGAATGGGGGTCAAGTGGGGGGTCATTAGAAAGGGCTTTTAATTCTCTATACATCGATTCTTACTTTTTGAAAATCGATTCATTATTTTAGAAAATATGCAGCTTTGAAAATACGAACAATATTTTTGACGAGAAATGCGAAAATCGATTTAATTTTACTTCAAAACTTACGGTATTAGTCAAGTAAATGCTGAAAATGTTGTCCGCCAACTTGCATACAATGATACAGGTTGTCTTCAAACCGTTGTCGAACATTCTGGAGCACTTGCGGTGTTACTTCGCGACATACATTAATGATTCGTCCTCGCAGATCTTCCAAGGTATCAGGTGGAGTGCTGTAAACTTTGCTTTTAATGTGCCCCCAGAGAAAGAAATCTAAAGGATTTAAGTCGGGTGACCGAGGGGGCCACTCAATTGCACCTCTTCGTCCTATCCAGCGTCCTGGAAACGTCTCATTTAGGTAATTGCGCACATTGAGCGAGTAATGTGGAGGAGCTCCGTCTTGCTGGAAAATCAGTTCGTGTTCATTGTAAGCAGGGTCGTCCTCTATGATATTTGTTAGAGCTGGGTCGATGACATTTTGTAGTAAATCCAAGTACATATCGCCTGTCAAATTTCCAGGAAGGAAAAAAGGACCTACAATGGAATTTCCAAAAATACCTGCCCATACATTCAACTTCTGGGGGTGTTGGGAGTGTGTCTCATGGAAAATCCTTGGATTGGTATCAGCCCAGTAACGACAATTATGGCGATTCACTAAACCATTCAAGAAGAACGTACACTCGTCCGAAAAACACACATTAAAGAGGAAATTATCGTTTATCGCTCGTTCAGTCATTATTTCGCAAAATTGCAAACGACGATCAAAATCGTCTTCATTTAGCTCTTGCACTAGCCGAATCTTAT